CGGCAGCCGGGCCCATGGCCACGGGCGCACCCCCAGCGCAGCAGGTTAACGTGGCTCCGCCAGGCAAGGCTCCCCCTACTCAGGACCTGGCCGGCGTAACCGCTAAAGCCGGGGGGAGTCGGCGGTCCGTGTCACCGAACAAGATTCGAGCGTCACCGTTGAGCCGGCAGGGCGGTGAAGAGCCACAGCCTGCTTACAAGCGGGCGCCGAAGGCCATGCGTGAACGTCAACGGGAGCTGGAGGAGTTGATGCAGATAGGCATGAAGATGGACGAGGATCGAACGGTCGGTGGTCAACGTGATGAGGCGCCAAAGGGTCCTGCTCCCGTCGTAAACGCGAGGCCGGCCAAGCCGCCCCCTCCGGGGCTCGGCGAGGCCAGAGCGGCAAGCAGCGTTACCGGCGTGAAGCCCCCGCCTCCAGAGGCCAAGAGGTTACCGTCCCAGCACATCCCGCCACCGCAGCCTCAGGTCGTTAACCGCACGACTGGTCAGGTTGAGAGGCACTCCAGGATCGTCGCCAAGGACACCACTTACCGCCCGCTGTACCACGTCAACGGTCGCATGTCCATGCTGAACAACAGGAGCGACGACTACGACGTTAACTTTCGGGCGGAACCTGATCCCAGGGAGGTGGTAGCCTTAACGATGAAGACACGTGATAACTGGCGCAAGTTTGAGGGTAACTTCGTCGGGCACGTGGGGAAGGCGGGGTTAACGACCCCTGGAGGCAGGTCCATTCAGGGCAACACCGGGCGGGAGCTTAACGATTACGACGACGTGTTTGTTGACATCTTCGGCCAACACGCTTACGGTTTCATCTGGGAGGAGTCGGCTTGCAGGGGGGGGCGGGCGCGGGGGGGGCGCCAACGATCGCGCCGATTCCATCGCGGCCCGCTGCCCCTTCATGGGGCTCTCAGAAATCCTCCGGGCCCAGTCGGCCTCGCAGTCGGCGCCGGCGTCGCGTCGCCCGCGAGCGCCAGCCGGCGGGCGGGACGACCTTGCTGCGCATGTTCGGCGCGAGAGACCCGCGCGGGCTCGCGCTGTGCCCGCGCCCCAGGGCGACGGCCCAGGCCACTGTAGCCTCCCGCGCTGACGCGATGGCCTCGCGCGCGGCGCAGGAGCGGGCGCCGCCGACCGTTCGGTTCGTATCCGCGCACTTCTCAAGCGAGAACGCAAAGCCCCCATGCTGCGCGCGCTTTGCGCGCTGAGCAATGCGATGCAGTTGCGACGGCCGCCCTTTCAATTGGAAGCCGCAACGCAAGTTTCCATTCCCGCGCGCGGGGCGGGGCATGAACTTACAGATGCGCCGACGGTCGAGAACTCGCGCGCGCGCCCGCGCCTGCCATGTTGGGCTCGCGCACTGGGCCCGGAAATCTGTGGCTCGGCCGCCCGATGCGCCCCAAGAATCGCTCCGCCTCCCCCCCCGCCCCCCTCCCCGTCAAAACTCTTCCGCGCTCCTGGAAAAAACATGCCGCCGAGGCGGGAGCTCGGGCCGCGGCCTGATGGTCCCCGGGGCACAGGGGAATCAAAGGAATCAGTACGGAATCAGTGCAGAATCAAAACAGAATCGGCACAACTGCGACCCCTGATACTAGCGGAATCAAAAGAATCAGCACGGAATCAGTACGGAATCAAAGGGGGAATCGGCGATAGAACCAGAATCGGCCAGAACGGGGAAGTAGGCCAGAATCGGTGCCAGAACCCATGGGGAGAGGCCTTTTCCCGCGAGTTCATTGCGGCGGGTCCGCGGCGCGGGCGCGCCGCGCGACTTCGCTTGTTCAGCGAGGCGCGCAGTCGGCGGTCAGAGTGAACAGGTTGTTTTCAGGGCGATATCCTGGCGGCGCGCTGGCGCATTGCGCATTTGCGTATTCCTGGCGGGCTGTTTGAGGCCGACCCGGCAGCGTCGGCCGAATGGCCCGCAAATACCGCGCGGCCGATCGCGCGCCCCATGCGGTCACGTCGACCGCCCTGTGCCGCGACGGCCGCGCCCCCCGGACCGCGCCATTGCCGCGTTGGATTGGACGGCGCAGCGCCCGTCCTCCAAAAGTCGTTACATGCATATCGCGCGCGTCGAGCCAGCAGCAATCGCTCCCAAAAGCAGCCTTGACAGGCGCCCCATGCCCGTTGTCGCCCGGTTCCGATCCAAATCATAGTTTCTTAGGATGCGCTTGCGCGAATGTGAGCGCGCGGGCAAGTAGCGCGTGCGCGCTTGGCGCAGCCTGGGAAATCCAACATGGAGCCCACCGGGGGCGCGGGGCGCCGGCGACGCCTCCGCCCGCCTCCCGCGCGCCCGACCCCCCCCGCAAGCCGACTCCTCCTAGTTTCATCGGCTATGCCGTGTTGAAAGGTCCGATCAGCTGGAGGTCTCAGTTAACGGACAAAGAGTTGGCCAAGCATGATGAATGGGTTGACGCGGTTGGGCACGTGCAGTCCCTATTTGACGATGACTACGTGCCACCGCTCCACCTTAACGAGCTCCACCCATCGTGGTTGGAGCACCACAGCTGCGCGGACACGCAAGTGTACGTCAACAAGGCGCCGGAGATGAACGAGAAGCAGCTTAACGGCCTCCTCTTAACGTGGGCAGGAATGCTGCCCCACGGCAACCCCGCCGTGATCTCCGTTAAGCACCTGGTGGAGGACACCCATGGGCCGCACGGTTACATCTCGATTGGAGTTACCGTGATTCGCTTTGTGACGCCCGATCTTGCCAGGCTTTACTGCCGTTACATGAGCGGGCTCCAGGTGCACTACCGTAACTACTACATCGACGACCTCGAGGTCAGGGGCACCGCGGAGTTAAAGGGCAGGATGAGCAAGCCTCCAGTCTACTGGCACCAGACCGTCTTGGAAGTTGCCCTTAACGATCAGGGATCCATGAGGGCACATTACCGTGATAATTGGCCGGCCGATCATGTCACCGAGCGTAAAAGCGATCACCGTGAGAAGCTTTGCTGGTTTGGCTGGTTAGCGTGCGACGACTTCCCCAACTGGCTTACCGATCCGGCCTGGACTGTGAACCCGTTTACCGGCGCTGCGGTCGAAGAGCACCTCCGTAACAATCCAGGCGATGGGCCTCTGTTAAAGGCTCCCCACGCCAGTTACTGGAGGGCCATCGGCACTTACCACAACATCGTTGACGGCTCAATCAAGAGCCACGATGAGGGGTGCTGGCTTGACGACGAGGAGCGCATTAACGCGTACATGGACAACGACTACTACAACCAGATGCAGGCCCTTAACAGGGTGTCGTCCTACACCGCAGCCGGCGTGGGCCATCGCGGGTTACCGAGGTCGAGGGGTTCACGGGCCCCGTCGGCGAGGCGCCCGCGCCGTCCGTGAAAGATGGCAGGCAGACACCATGCTGCAGTTCACGCTCTTCCTCATCTCCCCTCTTAACTTGGCTTAACGATCGAGTGGCAGCAGCCTGTTGAGCTGAGTTTGTTTGCGTGCGCATCTCTTGTTGTTACCGCAGGTATTGGCGAATAAAAAGCGAAAGCGACCAAAATCATCCAAACGCTAGCTTGCTGTGTAAACTTTAGATGCTTCGTTTGAACTTGCGACAGTAAAAGCGTTTACTCGAGCTCAGGTTACATGTGTGAGAAACTTGGTGCTCGTAAGCGCCGTCGCGAGACATTTCGAATTCAACAGTGTGATGAAGAGACTTGAGGCTTAACGTCATTTGCGTGCGACGTTTTGTCTAGCTTGACCTGTTTTCGTGATTGTTGACGCCTCCCCGTCAGCCTATACGGACTAGCGTCCGAGGGGGGGTGTCAACATGTGAGCGTTCAGGTGACTGGGGAGTGAAGGTGTCCCCGTTACCGTTTGGCTCAAGTGTTGAACGGCTGAAGCTACCGAGACTTGCTTCGCCGTGCTGAGGTAAAAAGGTGACCGATCGTCATCGCTGTCACCGAGCTCCCGTGCAGAACCCTCCTCGGGGTTTTGCAAGAGGAGAAGATGGAGATAAGAATATGAGGGGGAAGAGGAGGGAGGAGAAGGAGGAGGAGGAGTAGTAGGAGGTGAAAGAGGAGACGGAGAGAATAATATGAGGAGGAGGAGGAGGAGGAGGAGGAGGAAGGGGAGGAGACGGAGATAATCATTATATTAGTGTGACGATGATGATGGTGATGGCGATGATGATGACGATGACGACGATGAGGATGCTGTTGAAAATGATTATTATGATAATGATGGTGCTGACGATGCTGATGATGCTGCTGCTGATGATGGTGATGGTGATGGTGATGATTTTGATGTTGATGATGATGCTGATACTGATGCTTCTGATGATGATGAGGATGAGGAGGATGCTGATGGTAATGATTATGTTGGTAATGATGCTGATGATGATGAAGATGAATATGATGATGATGATGATGATGATGATGGTGATGATGAGGATGAGGAGGAGGAGGAGGATGAGGAGGAGGAGAATGCTGATCATGCTGATGATGCTGATGCTAATGATGATGATGATGAGGAGGAGGAGGAGGGGAAGGAAACGGTGGAGGAGGATGAGGGGAGGAGGAGGAGGAGACGGAGACGGAGAGAAGTATCTGATGATGATGATGATGATGAGGAGGAGGAGGAGGAGGAGGAGACGGAGACGGAGACGGGGAGAATAATCTGAGGAGGAGGAGGAGGAGACGGATGGAATAATGAGGAGGAGGAGGAGACGGAGAGAATAATTTGAAGAGGAGGATGAGGAGGAGGAGGAGGGAGAGATTTTTGTGAGCAGGAGGAGGAGGAAAGGGGGATAATCACATGATGATGATGCTGCTGATGATAATGATGCTGATGATGCTGCTGATGATGATGACGATGACGATGACGATGATACTGATGATACTGATGATTCTGATGATGAGGAGGAGAGGAGGAGGAGGAGGAGGAGGAGAGGAGGAGGAGGAGAACGAGAGGGAGGAGGAAGGCAAGGGCGAGCGGCGAGGAGGTGTGTGTTTTTTTTTGGGGGGGGGGATGCCGACCGCCGCCGCGACCAAGGTGCGGGCGAGCACCCCCTCGCCCAGCGGGACCAGCACGCCTCGCCGCATCCCCTCCATGCAGGACCCCGTCCGGATCGTCGCCGCCGCCGCAGCGCTCCTCCTCCTCCTCCTCCTCCTCCCTCCTCCTCCTCCTCTCCTCCTCCTCCTCCTCCTCCTCCTCCCCCCTCCGAGCTTTCTGAGAAGCAGCGTGCCAACTTGTATCGGTTTCCATCGATCTCTGACGAATTCCACCCCACATTTCAACGCTGACTTGCATCCTTCTATCCACCTGGACCTGGGGTGCTCGCTCGATGCCGAAACATGGACATGTATGGGGACGGGAATGCTTCGCCGAGGTGGCGTCGCAGTGTACGTGAGTGCAGCCGCACGCGGTCAGGAACAGCTTGCAAAGTTCGAACGGGGCGGGCCGAGCGTTTCGCTCGAGACCTCCTCCTCCTCTTCCTCCTCCTCCTCCTCCTCCTCCTCCTCCTCCTCCTCCTATTTCCCTCCCCCTATTCCCCTCCTCCGCCTCCTCCTTTCCTCCCCGCTTGTGGCCCCGAAGCTCTTGGCGTGTCCAGCACCTCCGAAACAGCTTAACGAACCCTGCCTCATTGCTGCTCGCGCGAGCGCCGCTGAACCCTGAGATCCTGGCGTTGCAATTTCTTCGCAACGGGTGTTTTCGCTCGATTTCGGGCCCCGGGGCCCTCACAGATCGATCTGGCTCGAAAAATGACGCAGAAAGATGGGGTCCAGGGGTCCGGGTGAGATTTTTTCCGATGTTGCATTTTTTGTTGTTTGCATTTTCGGATCTCAGGGAACTCTTGGCCCCCTTGTGCGCAGGAGTCCCTGGACGAGTGCGCGGGCACGAAAAGCCCGGGCCGGTCCCCACGCCGGCGGGATGGCGGAGCGCGCCGAAACTCCGAGAGAGGCCCGGCGCGGCTTTCCGCGGCGCTGTGCTCCAACGGTCGCGTGCGCGGCTTTGTTCGATTTGGCGGGCCTCGGTGCGATCGATATGGGCCGACGGTCGCTTGCGCGGCTTCATTCGATCTGGCAGGCCTTTATGCGATCGGTACTGGCCGACGGTCGCGCGCGCGGCTTCATTCGATCTGGCAGGTCTCGGTGTGATCGAGATGGGCCGACGATGGCGTGCGCGGCTTCGTTCGATCTGGCAGGCCTCGGTGCGATCGGTTTGGGCCCGTGCGCAGCTTCGCTCGGTTTGGCAGATCTCGGTGCGATCGGCATGGGTGCGGAGAGAGGGGGGTGCGACGGCCATCAGCAGTTCCTGCCCGTTCCTTGAGCAGGTCTCGCGGTCGGTGGCGCCGCGGGCGGGGTCCATGTTGTTGGCCTCCCAGGCTGCACAGAGTGAGGAGTGGCTATGCGATCTGCGGCTGCGTCCTCCTCTCTCGTCCTCCCTGGTGCCTCCAAAGTTATTTCTGGGCAAAAACTTCCCCTGTCAGGCATCGTGCCCACTTTTCCGTAGCCATTTCGGGCGTGCCCAGTGGCGCCGTGCCCCGACGGTCGCGTGCGTGGCTTCTAGGAGGAGGGAGGCGAGAGTAGGCTTCGTGCCCACTTGGCGGGCTCGCTGGCACCACTGTTGCGTCGAAGGAGGAGGAGGAAAAGGAGGAGGAGGAGCAACAGCAAGATCAGGAGGAGGAGGAGGAGAAGGAGGAGGAGAAGGAGGACGACGACGACGAGGAGGAGGAGGAGGAGGAGCACCAGCAGGACCAGCAGGACCGTCAGGACCAGCTGGACCCGCAGGAGGACGGGAGCAGGAGGAGCGGCCGACAGCAGCAGCGGGAGGAGGAAAAGGAGGCCCGTGCGCCCACGCCGTCCCCCCCAAGGTCCATCGACGCGGAGCAGGCCTCTTCCGACGGAGGCATGGTCTGGAAGCGCGTCTCAGGCGCCTGCGCGCGGGCCCGCGCGGGCCCGGCCGGCGACCCCGCGGGCCTCTTCATCCTCGAGAACGGGGGATTGTGGAGTCGCACGCCTTGCGGCGGGTGTTTTCCCTTTCTCATTTCCCTCATCTGTCTTCCCCTTCTCCTATACCTCCTCTTCCTCCTCCTCCTCCTCCTCATCTTCCTCCTTCTCCTCTTCCTCCTTCTCCTCTTCCTCCTCCTCCTCCTTCCCCCAGAATCGAGCTTTGTGCTGCTCCTGCCCCTCCCCCCCCAAAAAAGAACGCGGAGCGACATTCCGTTTTTTTTGTTTGGGGTGGGGGAGGGCTCCTCCTCCTCCTCTTCCTCCTCCTCCTCCTCCTCCTCCGCGCTGCTCTGCTCCCTCCTCCTTCTCCTCCTCCTCCTCCTCCTTGCCCCAGCCTTTTGCTTCTCCTGCACCTCCCCCCCCTCCCCCCCCCAACAAAAAAGCGGCGCGGCCTCCCGTTTTTTTTGGGGGGGGGGCTTCTCCTCCTCCTTCGCGCTGCTCCGCTCCCTCCTTCCTCTCTCCCACGCCCTCCTCCTCCTTCCCCCGGAATCAAGCTTTTTGCTTTTGAGATGCTTCGGAAGAAGAAATACCTCAGTTGACATTGCATTGGCATTGGTTTGGCCATGGTTTTGGTATCGCATTGGCATTGCGTTGGCATAGCGCTTGGCAGTGCGTTGGCATTGCGCTTGCATGTCGCAAGCATTGCGTTGGCGGGTCCTAATCCAACCCTCCACACAAGGACTCATATTGAAACCCTCTACCAGAAAGACTTCTATTGGAGCCCTCCTCAAAAAGGGTTCATATTGAAACCCTGCACAGAAGGCTTCCATGCGAAGCCCTCCACATAAGGATTCCTATTTAAATCTATCACACATGCTTTCTCCCAGTGGCATTTCATTGACATTGGGTTGGGATCGCCTTGGCATTAGTTTGGCATTGCTTTGGCACTGCTTAGGCATTGCGCTGGCATTGCGCTGGCGAGTTCCAATACCTCCCTTCGCAGATTGATTTCGATTGAACCCCACACAAGAAGGATTCCGATTGAAACATTCCACAAGAAGGGTTCGTTTCGAACCCCTTCAAAGCAGGATTCCATTCGAAGCCCCCCATCGCAGGAATCCTATTGAAACCGACCACAAGCGATTTCCCCCAGGCAGTTCATTGGCATTGGATTGGGATTGCCATGGCATTGTGTTGGCACTGCTTTGGCATTGCGCTGGCGACTTCTAATGCCTCCCACCACAGAAGGATTCCGATTGAAACGTTCCGCGCGAAGGGTCCCCCACATGAAGGGTTCATGGTGAAACCCTCCACAGAAGGATTTCTGCCGAAACCATCAAGAAGATTCCTATCGACATCTTCCGAAGAAGGATCCGTAACCAAATCATCCACATGAGTACTTATGTTGGAATATGTTGAAAGACTGGAATCATGCCATCGGCATTGCATTGGCATTGGTTTGGTAACGGTTTGGCATCGCATTGGCATTGCGTTGGCATTGCGATGGCAGTGCGTTAGCAGTGCGTTTGCATTGCGATGGCATTGCGCTGGCGAGTCCCAACCAAACGCTCCACATAATGATTCCGATTGAATACGTCCACAATAATGATGCCTACGGACACCCCAAAATAAGGATTCACATTGTAATCCTCCACAAAAGGGTTCCATGTGAATCCCTCCGCAGAAGGATTCCTCTTGAAACCATCCGAAGAAGGGTCCTTAGAAGGATTCCTTTGTGGATAACCGCGGAAGGGTTCTTAGAAGGAGTGCTATTGAACGCTACCAAAAGCAATCCACCCCATTGTCGTTGCATTGGCAACATGTTTGGATCGCCTTGGCGTTGGTTTGGCATGGAGTTGATCTTGGAGTTGGCACTGCTTTGGTATTGCGCTGGCGAGTCCTAATGCCTCCCTTCGCACAACGATTCCTATTGAAACCCTCCGCAATCAGTATTCCTTTGGGGAAATATATCAAAGGATTCCCCCCATTGGCATTGGATTGGGATCGCCTTGGCATTGGTTTGGCCTTACGATGGCACTGCTTCGGCATTGCGTTGGCATTGCGCTGGTGAGTCCTAATGGCTCCCTCCGCAGGAGGACTCCTACTGAACCCCCCACAAGAAGGATTTCTAGTGAAACCCTCCACAGGAGGATCCCGATCGAAACCCTCCACAAAGGCATTCCTTTTGAAATCCTCCGAAGAAGGATTCGTAATGACACCGTCCACAAAGGATTCTGATTGAAATCCACCTGCTTTGGCATTGCACTGGCATTGCGCTAGCGAGTCCTTGTGCCTCCCTTCGCACAACGATTCCTATTGAAACCCTCCAGAAATTGAATTCCTTTTAACATCTACCACAAAGGCTCCTCCCCATTGGCATTGCATTGGCATTGGATTGGGATCGCCTTGGCATTGGTTTGGCATTGCGATGGCACTGATTCGCCATTGCGTTGGCATTGCGCTGGCGAGTCCTAATGGCTCCCTCCGCAGGAGGACTCCTACTGAACCCCCCACAAGAAGTATTCCTAGTGAAGCCCTCCACAGGAGGATCCCTATCGAAACCCTCCACAAAGGCATTCCTATTGAAATCCTTCGAAGAAGGATTCGTAATGACACCGTCCACAAAGGATTCCGATTGAAATCCACCGAGCGAAAGGATTCCCCCATTCACATTGCATTGGCATTGGCATTGGTTGGCAATGGATTGGCATTGCATCGACATGCATTGGCCTGGTGCAGGAGATAGACAGAGAGAGACAAAGAAAGAGAGAGAGAGAGAGAGAGAACACGAGATAGCAATATAACGAGAGAAGCATATCATGAGGGGATCACGGCAATACGATAAATTACAAAAATATCAAAGTTTAAAGATGAAGGAGCGTTCCACTAGATGAAAACCATATCAAAACAACGTGCGACTCCACAATCCCCTGGCCTCTCCTCCTCCTCCTCTTCCTCCTCCTCCTCTTCCTCCTCCTCCTCTTCCTCCTCCTCCTCCTCCTCCACCACCTCCTCCGCCAGAACGTGGCTGCAGTGGCCGTTGGACATCTCCTGGGGAGCGGTGGGGCAGCGGGTGCAAACCCAGCAGAGCTGCAGCTCCCTGCGCGGGCTGTGGCGCGCCCGGTGGAAGCCCGGAGTCTTCGCCCTTCGGGGTGTGCGCCAGAGATGTCCGAGGGAGTCCCGGCAGCCGCAGGCCCGAAGGGAGACAGTCGACGCGCCCAGCAAGGACGCGCGCCTTCATTTGGGGTAGCCCTTGCGTCCTTGTCTCTGTGGCCCGTCCTTGGCGGTTTTCGCTGGTCGCCCGCTGCCCAAAAAGTCCCAACTTCGGCCTCCAAGGTCCTTGCGTCCTTACCACCCGTCCTTACTAACGTCTTGACTGCGTGCCAGGGGTTTCCGCGGGCCCCTTGGGTGCCAGTGGCATCGCGCCTCGGGCCGAGGGGCCCTGTTCCATCCTGGGCTGCTTGCTAGCGGTGGCCCCTTGGCCCATATGGGGTGGCACACCCTTTCTGGCCCGCTGGGAACGCCCCGTCTCGAGGCCCAGCGAGGCCCCTGGGGGCCTTGCGGGTGGCGCGAGGATCTGCGGACCCAGACCCCCGACTCCGTTTGATTGTTTCACAACGTCGACCCCCTGAGGTCTGGACCCCTTCCCCAGGACCCGCTTTTCGCCCCGAGTCGTTTTTTGCCCAGCGCTCTGAGCAGCAGGTTGGCACCGACGAGGTCACGACGGATTTGTTTGTGCACAAGGCTCGAACGGCACGGCTTCCTGCCCTGCCTTTCTCACCCCCATCGCCGCCTGCACCACCCGATGCCGCTTGCAGCCGGTGCTGCGCCCCGCGCCTGCTGCTAGATGTGAGACTCGCTGTTCACTTACATTCCTCTGTTCATGATACGCTCGTACTCACATGTCTCATCGCATCCATTTTTCTGGCCTCCCCCTCTCCTCTTCGTCGTCGTCCTCCTCCTCCTCCTCCTCCTCCTCCTCCTTATCCTCCTCCTCCTCATCCTCCTCTTCCTCCCCCCTTTTTCCTCCTTTTCCTCCTCCTCCTCATCCTTTTCCTCCTCCCCCCCCGCCTCCTCCTCCTCCTCCTCCTCCTCCTCTTCCTCTTTCTGCTCTTCCCGCCTCTTATCCCATCCTCCTTTTCCTCTTCGCCCAATATCCTCCTCCCTCCTCCTCCTCCTCCTCCTCTTCCCTTCTCCTGCTTCTCTCCTCTTCCTGTTTCTCCTCCTTCTCCCTTTTCCTCCATTGCCTTTTCTCCTCCCTCCCTCTTCCGTCCTCCTTTTTCCTCCCTCCTCGCTCCATGCCATTTCCGTATTGGTTATTCTCCCCTGTGGAACCCAAGGGCCGGTGGGAAGGGCGACCTGGGCGTTTCGCCTGAAACGTGCTTCTGCTAATGACCCTGAAGCTCAAACATTGGCAACCGCCTCGCAGGTGGAAGGCGGGCCGCTTCCAAAATGTGGCTTTCGCCTTAGCGCCGCGCGCACTCGGGTTAAAGATCTGCACCATTTGCACACATGGAGGGCGGATCTTTTTCAAAGTGTGGCTCTCGCCTTAGTGCAGCGCGCGCTCGTCTTAAATATTTCCGATCGCTTCACAGATGGATGGCGGTTCGTTTCTCCACATGTGGCTCTCGCTTCAGCGCCGTGTGAAGTTCCGCAGATGGAAAGCTGCAAAAGTTGCACAAGTTTCGCAGATGGGATGCGGCTCTTTCTCAAGATGCGGTTCTCGCTTTAGCGCCGCGCGCATTCGTTTTAAGTCTTCGCACGATATTCACATGGGCTCATGGCTAGCGTACCAAAAGTGGTGTGTTGAACGAATTCGGATTGCTAAGGCGTAGCAGTTCCTTCGATTTGCGGTGCTGAAGTCCCAGGAAATGGTGTCCGGACACGATTCAGGATTGTCAATCTGCACAAGTGGCGCTGAAGTCCCGAGAACGGTGTTTTGACGCGTTTCAGGATCTTCAAGCGGTTGTCACCCACCAGTGCATTTCCATCGGTAGCAAATAAATCTTTGTGTGGGGCCTGCGGTGAGAGAGAGTTTTCCGGGAGGGTCTATCCCAACATCGTTGCTGAGTCTTGGGCGCAAGCTGGTCCAACATTCTCCTCTTCCTCCTCCTCCTCCTCCTCCTCCTCCCCGTCCTCCTCCTCCTCCTTCCTCCCTTCTCCTCCTCCTCCTCCTTCTCCTCCTCCTCCTCCTCCATTCCTTTTCCTTATAGATACCTTCTCCCTGTCGCACCCCGAGGCCAGTTTTTAGGGCGGGCCAGGCGTTTCGCCTGAGACTTCCTAAGAAGTGACAACAGTTTTACAGATGGAGGGAGGGCCGTTTTCAAAATGTGGCTCTCGCCCTAGCGCCGCGCACATTCGTTTTCAAGATTTGCAAGAGTTTCACGGATTGAGGGCGGGTCGTTTTCAAAACGTGGTTCTCGCCTTAGCGCCGCGCACATTCGTTTTAAACAATTGCAAGAGTTTCACGGCTTGGGGGCGGGTGGTTTTCAAAATGTGGCTCTCGCCTTAGCGCCGCGCACATTCGCTTTGAAACATCGCACGAGTTTCACAGATGGAGGGCGGATGGTTTTCAAAATGTGGCTCTCGCCTTAGCGCCGCGCACATTCGTTGACAACTTTTTCAAGAGTTTCACGGATTGAGGGCGGTTTCTTTTCAAAACGTGGTTCTCGCCTTAGCACCGCGCACATTCGTTTTCAAGATTTGCAAGAGCTTCACGGATTGAAGGCGGTTTCTTTCCAAACTGTGGTTCTCGCCTTAGCGCCGCGCACACTCTTTTTCAAAGTTTGCAGAAGTTCCACGGATTCCCATGATCTACGTACCAGAAATGGTGTTTTGGAAAGATTCAGGATTATGCGGGCGTAACATTTATGTTATTCGCGGTGTTGAAGTTCCAAAAACGGCGCTCTGGCACGATTCCGGATCGTCAAGACGCAGCACTCAGGTTGATACGTGGCGTTGAAATTTAGAGAGCAATGTTTCGGCATGCTTCAGGATCTTCAAACCGTTGTCTTCCAACGAGGCAGTTCCCTCAATGGAAATGAACCGTTGTAGGGGGCCTATGAAGAGGGAGCTTGGAGGGAGGGTTAATTCCAACATCGTTGATGACTCTTGGTTTTCCACTGGTCCTCCTCCTCCCCTCGTCCTCCTCCCCCTCCTCCTCCTCCTCCTCCTCCTCCTCCTCCTCCTCCTCCTCCTCCTCTCCTCCTCCTCCTCCTCCTCTCCTCCTCCTCCTCCTCCTCCTCCTCCTCCTCCTCCCCCTCCTCCTCCTCCTCCTCCTCCTCCTCCTCTCCTCCTCTCCTCCTCCTCCTCCCTCCCTTCTCCTCCTCCTCCTCCTCCTTCTCCTCCTCCTCGTCCTCCTCTTCCTCCTCCTCCTCCTCCTCCTCCTCGTCCTGCTCCTCCTCCTCCTCCTCCTCCTCGCTCTTCCTCCTCCTCTTCCCCCGCAAGGCTCCGACCAGGGCGCCCAGTCGCGGCGGCCCAGCCAGGGGCCGCCGCCTCTGCCGCCGAAGGCGGGCCAGGCCGGCTGCAGCGCCGCCGCCGCCGCCGTCGTCGTCGTCGTCCACTCGTCGCCGTCCCCGGGTGGGACTCCGCCGGGCCCGTCCCTCTACAGGAGGAAAAATAGTCAGGGGATGTTTGTTGCCATTCTTATTTCGGGGTGTTGTTTGAGTATTTGGGGGTATCTTTTATTTGTCGCCCAAAAACCGCCTGTAGGGGGACACGCCCGACCTAAGGGTAGGAGGGGGGGAGGGGGGAAAAGCATGACATGAAGGAGGGGGAGGACGAAGGGGAAGAATGCGGAAGGACGGAGGGAAAGAGGAGCGGGAGGGAGGGGGAGGCTGTGGAGCTCTCACTGCTGAAGTGTTGTTGTTAAATCCCCCCACCGGGGCACATTGTGTTTTTCCCCTTCCCGGGGCTCGCATCTCAGAATTGTGTCTTTGGCCCCCGGATTACAACAACAACAACAACAACAACAACAACAACAACAACAACAACAACAATCACTTTACCCGAACGCTCAGTGTTCTCACCAGTGCCAGGGTTTTCATGCGACGCCAGCCAATACCCCCACTTTGTGGGGGGGCAGTGCAAGCTCTACCAAATATCCACACGACTCTTCGCCACCACCCACACCCAGCTTCCCGCCCTATGACGTTCGGACACTTCACTTCGTGGCCTGCGGACGACCGTGGCTACTACACTGGCGTGGAGTACACACCCACAGAAGTTGTTAGGACAGCGCGCGCGGGTAGAAATTTTGAAAAGTCGTGCAGGTGTTTTTCGAGGACCTACGGTGCGATTCGTGTGATTTTATGATGCGCGGTGCTAAAATTCTTAAGAAGCCCAATGGTTTTTGGAGATTTCGGCGTGCGCGCGCGAAGAAAAAACGAATGTGTCCCGCATGGTATTATTTGACAGGGATGATGGCCCTGGCAGGTGCGCAACCGTTGTCGCAGAAGTTCGAAAAAGTTGCTCGCAAAAGCCCGTTTGACAGAAATGTTTAAAAAGTGTTGGGTTTCCTACGAATCCGCAAGAGCGCGCGGGATGAAAGTTTGACATTTTTGTTGTTGAAAAACCATTGGTTTTTTGATGTTTTTCCCTACCTAGGCTCTGCCTAGAAGGGTTCTTACTTTCTTTGCTAAAGGGGGCGGGCAATGAAACCCACCCCGGGCGGTTCCCCCGGTTGCGCCCCCCTGGTTCCCCCGGGTGCGCCCCCTGGGTTCCCCGAGCTTAGCTTAGCTTAACTTACCCTGAGCTTAGCTTCGCTTAGCTTTAGCTTTAGCCCCCTTAGGCTTAGCGCTTAGCTTAGCTTAGCTTAGCTTAGCTTAGCTTGCTTAGCTTAGCTTAGCTTAGCTTAGCTTTGCCTAGCCTAGCCTAGCTTAGCTTAGCTTAGCTCAGCTCAGCTTAGCTTAGCTTAGCTTTGCCTAGCCCAGCTTAGCTTAGCTTAACTTACCCTGAGCTTAGCTTCTTAGCTTAGCTTAGCTTAGCTTAGCTTAGCTTAGCTTAGCTTAGCTTAGCTTAGCTTAGCTTAGCTTAGCTTAGCTTAGCTTAGCTTAGCTTAGCTTAGCTTAGCTTAGCTTAGCTTAGCTTTAGCCTAGCCTAGCCTAGCTTAGCTTAGCTTAGCTCAGCTCAGCTTAGCTTAGCTTAGCTTTGCCTAGCCCAGCTTAGCTTAGCTTAACTTACCCTGAGCTTAGCTTCGCTTAGCTTTAGCTTAGCTTAGCTTAGCTTAGCTTAGCTTAGCTTAGCTTAGCTTAGCTTAGCTTAGCTTAGCTTAGCTTAGCTTAGCTTAGCTTAGCTTAGCTTAGCTTAGCTTAGCTTAGCTTAGCTTAGCTTAGCTTAGCTTAGCTTTGCCTAGCCTAGCCTAGCTTAGCTTAGCTTAGCTCAGCTAGCTTAGCTTAGCTTAGCTTAGCTTAGCTTAGCTTAGCTTAGCTTCGCTTAGCTTAGCTTAGCTTAGCTTAGCTTAGCTTAGCTTAGCTTAGCTTAGCTTAGCTTAGCTTAGCTTAGCTTAGCTTAGCTTAGCTTAGCTTAGCTTAGCTTAGCTTAGCTTAGCTTAGCTTAGCTTAGCTTAGCTTAGCTTTGCCTAGCCTAGCCTAGCTTAGCTTAGCTTAGCTCAGCTCAGCTTAGCTTAGCTTAGCTTTGCCTAGCCCTTAGCTTAGCTTAGCTTAGCTTAGCTTAGCTTCGCTTCGCTTCGCTTAGCTTAGCTTAGCTTCGCTTCGCTTCTTAGCTTAGCTTAGCTTAGCTTAGCTTAGCTTAGCTTAGCTTACCCCATCTTAGCTTAGCTTAGCTTAGCTTAGCTGTTGCTTTCCTGAATGCTCCAACTCCTAGGTAGGGTCGCACTGGGATAATTATGTTAAAATCGCTGCGAACACTAAGCTTTTGGAAGGATTTCGTCTTGCGCGCGCGAATGTCCACTTTACCTTATTTTTTGCAAGGGATTCTTGAAATTTGATTATATTAGAACAAGAAATGTCATTTTATAGTGTTTTTTGCAAGGGAAAACGGATTACAACAAAACAACCG